TTCTGAGTCCTGTAGATTATTTGGCTGAATGATTATCTAGACCTCTAAAACATGGCTACATTTTGTGTTGAATATTAAGTTTTAATGATGCATTTATCCCTTTGCAAAGAATGCATTGAGCAATGCTTAACTCAGTAGAATCATCAGATCACCTCCAGTGCCTCTTAGGAATAAGGGTAATAAGTGGGTGACCTGTATTCAGTTCTTTTGTGCCCTTAGAGCAAATAAGTAAACACAAGCAAGTTAGCCGTTTGTGGTGCATCAGCCACCATGTTTGGTGTTACATAGGCTGTCTCATTTGTATTCTTTCATAAATTTATATATCTTTTATTTTATTTTATTTTATTATTATTTTTTATTTTTAGCAGGAGTCTCTTTCTTTTGCCCAAGCTTGAGTGCAGTGGATCACTCATGGCCTCCCAAAGGCGCAGGATTACAGACTGAGCCTCCGAGCCCGGCAGAAAATTTTTTTTTTAAAGTTATACACTGAAAGATGAAACCACTCTAGACCCTAGTGGAAAAAACAGATCAATAAGTGCCTGAAGGTTTTTTTGAACTCTTGGATTTTTTTCTTCAAAAGAGATCTATAGGCTGGGTGCAACGGCTCACACCTGTAATCCCAGTACTTTGGGAGACTGAGGTAGGCAAATTGCTTGAGCCCAGGAGTTCAAGACCAGCCTGGGCAACAGAGCAAAACCTCATCTCTACAAAAAATTTTTAAAAATTAGCAGGTCATGGTGGTATGTGCCTGTAGTCCCAGCTACTTGGGATGCTCAGGTGGAAAGATCGCCTGAGCCCAGGAGGTCGAGCTGCTATGAGCTATGATCATCGTGATCATGCCAAGGCACTCCATCCTGGACAACAGAGTGATACTCTGAGTGTGTGTGTGTGTGTGTGTGTGTGTGTGTGTGTATGCATACTTTCTATAATATAGAAAAGTTTTGCTCCAAATCTTCAAATGAAAATGAGAATCCAAGAAAAGTTTGTCAGGTTAGGCGTGGTGGCTCACACCTGTAATCCCAGACTTTGGGAATCCAAGGATTGCTTGAGCCCAGGAGTTTGAGACCAACCTAGGCCACATAGCAAGACCTCATGTCTACAAAAAAAAATTTTTTTAATTAAAAGAATTAGCAGCTGTGGTGGTGCATGCCTATAATACTATCTACTCAGGAGGAAAAGGTGGAAGGATTGTCTGAGCCAAGGAAGTTGAGGCTGCCATGAGCTATGATTGTGTCACTGCACTCCAGCCTGAATGACAGTGTGAGACTCAAGAAGGAAGGGAGGGAGGGAGAGGAGGGAAAATGTGTCTAATTTATCCTACAGCTTAGTATATAAATGCCCTGGCACACTTCTATATATTCATGGGTGTGCATACCTCAGAGTAAAAAGCTGGCATTCAAGGTTCTTACTTTGTGGTTCTTTCTGGCTTTACTTCTTATCATTTCCTTCCACATACCCTGGACTCTGATTATATAGCCACAGCATGTTAAAATTTGTGTGTTTTCTACCATGTCTTCATATCATCATTCAAATTAGTTGGTTTTTTCCTTCTTCTTCTTCTTCTTTTTAATTTGGTAACAGGGTCTTACTCTGTCACCCAGGCTGGAGTGCAGTGGCACAATTCCATCTCACTGCAACCTAAACCTCCTGGACTCAGATGATCCTCCCATCTCAGCATCCGAAGTAGCTGAGACTACAGATGCATACCCTCATACCGGCTAAGTTTTTTGATATTTTCTTACCATGTTGTCCAGGCTGGTCTTGAACTCCTGGGCTCAATCATCCCACCTTGGCCTTCCAAAGTGCTGGGCTTACAGGTGTGAGCTACCATGCCTGGCCTGTTTTTTTGTTTTTTCCAAGAGGAAATGGCCTTTTTTCTCTCCTCTGCTCATTCTTTAGGGCTCACTTCAAGTGCTGCATTGCCACTCACCACATCATGTGATTTTTTTTTTTTTTTGACAGACTTTTGAGCCATCATGTGCAAGGCCTTATGTGAGGAGCTGGACTACAGTCTTTGAAGGGTGATAACTGAGTGTTGGTCATCTTAGATGTCTGGTGTCTGCATAGATAGATATTAAATTTTCAGCTGCTTTCCCCTCCCTCTAATCTCTTGTTTTTCTAGTTAATCTCTTACTCTGCCTCACAGGTGATTATCCAGAGTCACACATCTGATCATCACCACCCTACACAGAGAAAGCTTTCATTTTAAACTTTAAGATGGCATTAATGTTCTGCAATTATACAGTGACTAGGAAAGAAAAAAAGATGGCACAGATGACTTTCTTCATGTGGACTCAACCTTACTTTTCCAGTCTCCTTTGCTGCCCTAACCACCCCTTCTTGTCTTTACCCCTTCCTGATCCTCATGATGAGGCTTGTCTATCATCCCAGACCACTCTCCATTCTCAGCCCATACCATCTACTTTCTAATTTTTGTTTGTGCTTGTACAGTTTATTCTCCCTGAGATGTCCTCATTCCTTCTTTAGCTGTTGAAATCCTACTCATCTGTATGGTTATGGGTGGAGGGGAGCTGGATAAAGGTCAGAATTACCTACCAGAGACTTCCCAGGTTCTCCTAAATCTCTAAAATTAGTAATTGCTTTATCGTCTTTTTTTTTTGAGTTGGAGTCTCACTCTGTCACCCAGACTGGAGTGCAGTGACCACTCCCGGCCACTGCAGCCTCTACCTACTGGGCTCAGGCAATCCTTCCGCCTCAGCCTTCCAAGTAGCTGGAACTACAGGCACGCGCTACCATGCCCAGCTAATTTTTAATTTATTGTAGAGATGAGGTCTCGCCAAGTTGCCCAGGTGGGTGGCGAACCCGCGGGCTCAGGCAATCCACTCACCTCAGCCTCCCTAAGCGAGGGATTACAGGCTGAGCCACCGAACCCGGCTGCCTTATCGTCTTCTTATAGATCAATATCCAGTTTTATTCTTCTGCTGTGTGTACATACCACCACCTCAGTTCACCTTAAATGTTGTTATCTATTGAATTGAAGATCTGTTACTTTAAGGAATATAGTTCAAATATATTAATCTTTAATAGTATAAACATGCTGTGCTCTAATGAGTAAGGGATAAATTTTAGTGCCAGTACTTTCCCACCTCCCAGGAATTCTTCTTAGTAAAACTGTGGAGAGAGGGATGTCAACAATTCAGAAAGATCCCCAAACACATTTATAATTTCACATGTTTATAGCCTGACCTTTTTATCTTTAAAGTTCTTAAGCTGCAACCTGTATTGAAATTAGCAGGTAAATGTTTGGAAACCTGTAAATCTTCCTCATTATGTTATATGCAGGCAAAAGTTGTTTCTAACTTGTATTCTTTGACACATAAAGGTGTACTCAGCAATCTGATAGCAGTATCAGAAGATGATGTAGTTATATTGTGAAGGGTTTTCTGTTATCTAGAACTTGGTAAATGAGAACTTGTATTGCAAGCACCTTTTTCTTTCCAAAATGAATTGTGTTTCTTAATTATAAAAACAGTGTGCATTATATAAAATCAGAAAATAATAAGAAAAATTATTTTAATACCTTAATGTACATCTTTTTGTATCCTTTCCACGCATGTATATTCAGCTGTGTCTATATAGATATGTAACGTCTATTTACTCATGTGTATTATTTTGAAAGTATTCATACTGTGCATGCAATACCTATAACTTTTAATCAGTCAAGATTTTGAGTGTCTGATATGTGCGAAACATGGTCTGAAGCTCCATAGGCATCAAGAAAACGATTAAAATCTGTATCCTGAAGATAGTACTATACTAACTAGCTGGATAAAATAGTAATATTGTATAAGATACAATATGAAATTCAATGCTATGGTTAAACTGTATGGCATGTACTAAACAGGAGCAATTGAAGTTAAGATTTGAAGGATCACTGAGGGTGAGAAGAGCTGAATATTCAACATGTAATAACAGGCTAAATGATAGTTATTCTCATTCTCATCATCACTCCAAGTTCTTGTCTCAGTGTCTAGGGATATTGATTCAATTTAGGGAAGTTGGGAGGAAAAATTATTTCAGGAAGAAGTTCGAGATGCCTGAGTATTGTCTGCTTATAGAGCTAGAGTTGTGGTGAATAGTCCAAAACAGCTTTGAGAATCATCTACTTCTGGCAGTAGATGATTTCTCTAAAAGGAGGATTGGGCAATAATTGGTTTTATTTCACATATTCCTCCCTTCCTCCCTCCCTTCTTTCTTTCTGCAGGGTTTTGCTCTGTTGCTTAGGCTGGAGAGCAGTGGCATGATCACAGCTCATTGCAGCCTTGATCTCCTGGGCTCATGTGATCCTTCTGCCTTAGCCTCCCAAGTAGCTGGGAATACAGGCATGCCCAGCTAATTTTTGTATTTTTTGTAGCGATTAGGTCTCACTGTGTTGCTCAGGCTGGTGTCAAACTCCTGTGCTCAAGAAGTTCTTCTGCCTTAACCTCCCAAAGTGCTGGTATTACAGGCATGAGCCACCACACTGGGTCTTACACTGTACTTTATGCCATCTAAAGTTGACATGAAATACCATAACAAAAAATATTAAATTCCAATTTGCAGTTAGTTAGAAAATTTAGAGTTTGTGTTTAGTGTGCCAAGAGTTAAAATCTCTTTGAAATTCTGGCATTTCTTCTTGGTTTGTCTTATGGCTTAATAGTTCGAAAATTTCAAATAAGTGTGTGTGTGTGTGTGTGTGTGCGCGCGCGTTTGTGTGCACGCGCGCCACAGAAAAAGGATATGAGAGCAAGAGCGCGCTCTTTTCCTCTTTTTTTAAAAAAAAAATTATGTGTAGATTAAATTTCCAAATTGTCAAGCCATTTTGTTCTCGTCTTGCTGGATCTCACTATCTCTGTTTAGCTTTCACTTATAAATCACATTTCATACATATGAACAGCATTAGGGATGTGACCTTTCTTATGACCCCGTAAGCTAATATTTTGCTTTGCATTTCTCAGAATAAATACCACTAAAACATAAACATTCTGCTTTCCCCATAGGTAAAAATCTCTACACCAATGAATATGTAGCAATCAAACTGGTGAGTAGAATCTGTGTTTGTGGTTAACTAATGTTTTGGCACTCTCATTGCTCATATCTTTTTACAGGAAACAGTTTTAAGCATTCACAAAAATAATAATATTATTTATTTCTCATATTCTTATATCCCACATAGTCATTTTTTTCAATTATAATGTTACAGTGATAAATCACTCTATACTATATAATACTATATACTTAGATGATGCCAATATAGTATTAGCAATGATGAACCAAAAATTAGTTGATTAAAAAATAACTGGAAGAACTAAGAATTGTGTGAACTCTATCTTTCACAGAACTATCTTAAAAAGATAGAATCATTTGAAAATTGTATTGTTCTTTTCCTCAAGCATAACTGATTTATTTTTTAAAGGTAAGATGTTTGTTAATATCCTTAGTAGAAAGAAATTATATCTGATCATGTAGTTGTGGCCTTAAGAAACTGTCAGGCATGAAAAACACATGTTCAGAATAGAAGCAGAGAGGTCAATTCGTTATATTAATACTTATGAAGTTAGTCATTGAAAATTGCATTGTATTAAAAACGAAAATTAGTGATTTACTACTTTTTAGGCCAGGTGCAATGGTTCACGCCTATAATCCCAGTAATTTGGGAGGCCAAGGTGAGAGAATTACCTGAGCCCACGGGTTCGAGACCAGCCTGAGCAACTTGGTGAGACTTCATCTCTACAATAAATCAAGAAAAATTAGCCAGGCATGATGGCGCATGCCTATAATTCCAGCTACTTGGAAGGCTGAGGCGGAAGGATTACCTGAGCCCAGCAGGTCGAGGCTGTGGTGGCCATGAATGGCCATTGCACTCCAGCCTGGGCAACAGAGTGAGACTCTGACTCAAAAACTAAATACATTTTTTTTTTAATTATTATTTTTGAGTACTAATCATTTTAGAAGAAACAGTTATTTTATATTTAAGGTTGGTAACAAAACCATTTTTAGTCATGTTTTATATGACTAGTTTCAGTAAACTGTGTATATATTTACCCGCCTAGTAAATCATAGTAAATTCTGCAGGATTTACAGGTAGCTTTGGACTTCATTAGTTGGAAGCCAGGGGAGTTAGTGGCTGAAGTAAATATTTTATGTTAATTGAATGAATGAATTTCATTTTCCACACCCACACCTGATCTTTGGTTGGTCCCTTTCTCTCAGTTTAGCAAGTTGGTTTGTAGAGGAGACAGTGTTGTCTTGTGAAGAACTGACAGTTACCAGATTGGTTTCTCTACTAAGGGATTGACAGATAGGGAGCAGAGCTTAGGTTATTTCTATGGAACCACTTTTTTTTTTTTTGAGTTGGAGTCTCACTTTGTCATCCAGGCTGGAATACGGTGGCACACTCACTGCCACCCCAGTGTCGACCTGCTGAGCTCTGGCAATCCTTCTGCCTCAGCCTTCTAACTAAGTAGCCGGAACTACAGGCACGTGCTACCATGCCCAGCTAATTTTTTATTTATTGTAAAGACGAGGTCTCACCCGTTGCCCGGGCTGGTCTTAAACCCGTGGGCTCAGGCAATCCACTCGTCTCGGCCTTCCAAGGAACCAAATATTTTATTTTGTTTTTTTGAAATGGAAGTCTAGGAGAGATGGGAGCAGGAAGAGAGGTAATGTGTGTAACAATACAGGTCAAATATCCTCTCAGATTGAATATTTAAGGATTAACCATATTATTTATGTATATTAATTTGTTTATTCTATAAAGATGTTCTAGTACATTTACCTTTTTTTTACTTTTTCTGTTTTACTATTCTGATAAATTGGAAGATTTTTTGATTATTTGGGGCTGCTCATAGGCCCCTAAAACACTTTAAAATTTTGCTTTTGCTATATATTTGTTAGCTTTCTGTTACAGACAGTTTTGTTGTTGTTTGTTTTTGAGTTGGAGTTTCACTCTGTTGTCCAGGCTGGAGTACAATGGCATGCTCACTGCTATCACAGCCTCAACCTGCTGGGCTCCTTCTGCCTCAGCCTTCCAAGTAGCTGGACCTACAGGTGTGCGCCTCTATACCTAGCTAATTTTTGTTGATTTATTATAGTGACGAAGTCTTGCCAAGTTGCCCAGGCTGGTCTGAAACCCCTGGGCTGAGGCAGTCCTCTCACCTCTGCCTCCCAAAGTATTAGGGTTACAGATGTGAGCCACCATGACTAGCTGAGACAGTTCTTTCAATCTTAATTTCTTTGTCAGTTTTATAACAGTTGATCTGTATGGATAAGCTTGCATAACATTTGTTGACATGATTGACCATTACATTTCACTTCCCTCTTATTAAGCTTCTATTTTGCTTTGTATGATCAATCATGAAAGCTAAAAATAGGATTCTTACCATCTAGTATGGTATGTCTCATTACTGTATTTCTCTTTCAAATAAGTCTCAAATAAAGGCATTCTAGGAGATAACTGTTAGGTCAGTGAGCCAGTGCCACAGGAAAGAATTGCACAAAAAGAGTAGGTTAGAAAAAGTTTATTTAGAAAGTAGATCAGAGAAAAAGGGTGGATCTACCTCCCCAAGACTGGAGAGAGGAGTCAGTCACTTAAGGAATGTTTGGCTGTGAATGCTTGAGGTTGAAAGCTTTCGAAACTACCCTGTTAGAAAGAGTAGGTAAGCATTCTTGGGAGAGATAACACAGGAGCTGTGGCCATGGTGATGAGGAGGTGGTCGGTCACAAAGGACTGATTACTGTACATTAAGTCAGCTTTGTCCCTTTATGGAAGGAAGACAAATACTTTGGATAAAAGGGTAGTTAGTTCAAAGCATGTTTAGAGGGCTACAATATAATTATCAGTAACTACCTCTGGGAAACTGGTTTTTGTTTTCATGATTATAAGGTGAGTTGAAACAAGCTGCTGAAAAAGCATGACAAAGCTAAGCAATGTTAAAATGGCTACCACTCTTACAAAAGTTACTCCATTTTGGCTTTTTACCCTTTCTTTTTTTTTTTGAGTTGGAGTCTCACTCTGTCACCCAGACTGGGGTGCAGTGGCCACTCCCAGCCACCGCAGCCTCACCTGCTGGGCTCTGGCGATCCTTCCGCCTTAGCCTTCCAAGTAGCTGGAACTACAGGCACGTGCTACCATGCCTGGTTCATTTTGATTTTATTGTAGAGATGAGGTCTTGCCAAGTTGCCCAGGCGGGTCTCGAACCCGCGGGCTCCGGCAATCCAGTCACCTCACCCTCCCAAAGCGTAGGATTACAGGCTGAGCCCCGGAGCCTGGCTGCTTTTCACCCTTTCAATAACAGTCTTGTCCATGGGCTTCCTTTTTTGCTGTTGAGCTTCTATTCTCCAAGGGAGATAAGAGGGCAATTGAACTCTTTTCATTTTAACAGCAAAATTTGCCTTAAGCATCACATGCCTACAAGGTAACTGTCTGGTGATTTAGGAGTTCAGGCAGATGTGTGTGTTTGTGTTTCAACTTTACCGTGATTCTGGCAAATGGCCAGGCCTCTGTGGAAATGTAATCAGCATCTGGTGAAGAAATAAAATGAAGCACTGCTGCTCCTGTTCCAGTTTGGACGTTGTTTGGATCTTCATAGCAGGCTCTTGTTTCTTGGATTTCCAGGAACCCTTTTTTTGAGTTGGAGTCTCACTCTGTTTTCCAGGCTGCAGTACACTGGCGATCATGGCTACCGCAGCTTTGACCTGCTAGGCTCAGACGATCCTTCTACCTCAGCCTTCCAGTAGCTGGGACTACAGGCGTGCACCACCATGCCTGGCTAAATTTTTAATTTATTATAGACATGGAGTCTCGCCAGGTTGTCCTGACTGGTCTGGAACCCATGGACTGAAAGAATCCTCTCGCCTCGGCCTCCGAAAGTGCTGGGATTATAGGCGCGAGCCACCACTCCAGCCTTCTAGGAACCTTTTTTTTAAAAAAAGTCACACACAAAGTGAACAAAATAGGGTAATGAACTCCTCCATTACCCCTAACCTAGATTTCTAGGATTCTGTTTTTTTTTTTAATGACTTAGAGTCTCACTCTGTCATCCAGACTGGAGTGCAGTGGCTGTTCCTAGCACCGCAGCCTCGACCTGCTGGGCTTTGGCGATCCTTCCACCTCAGCCTTCCAAGTAGCTGGAACTACAGGCGCGCACTACCACGCCCGGCTCATTTTGATTTTATTGTAGAGATGAGGTCTTGCCAAGTTGCCCAGACGGGTCTCGAACCTGCGGACTCAGGCAGTCCACTCACCTCAGCCTCCCAAAGGCGCGGGATTACAGGCTGAGCCACCGAGCCCGGCTTCTAGGATTCTTTTTTTTTTTTTGAGTTGGAGTCTCACTGTCGCCCAGACTGGAGTGCAGTGGCTGCTCCCGGCCACCGCAGCCTCCACCTGCTGGGCTCTGGAGATCCTTCCACCTCAGCCTTCTGAGTAGCCGGAATTACAGACACGTGCTACCACGCTCGGCTGATTTTTTGTAGAGATGAGATTTCGCCAAGTTGCCCAGGTGGGTCTCGAACCCACGGGCTCAGGCAGTTCACTCACCTCAGCCTCCCAAAGTGTGGGATTATAGACTGAGCCACCGAGCCCGGCCAAAATTTATTTATTGCAGAGACAAGGTCTCACCAAGTTACTCAGACTGGTCTCGAAACCCTGAGCTTAGGCAATCCTCTCACCTCGGCCTCCGAAAGTGCTGGGATTACAGACTTGAGCCACTGTGCCTGGCATACATTGCTTTTCTAACAGTTAAAAAAAAAAAATCTGTGCTGCTAATCTTGCTGCCTTCTCCACGTTTTGGACTATGTGTTTGTCATGCCCTTTATTTATAGTGCTTCCAGCAAAACACCTTGAAGTCCCAATTGGCTGAGCAGGCTATATAGCCATGTGCTAAAGAAGTTTGCTAAAAGGTGTTAAATAACTCAGTTTTCAATAAAATGTCACTCATGTCTGCATAAGAATTCTGACAATTAGGTTTCCAAATCAGTCCTAGAAAAAGTACTATATGCCTCATTATTGACTATCATGATGGTCACCTTCAAAGAGAACTCCCTTTGGGAAACTGCACTGGCACTAGCACCTAGTCCACTGGCCAAAGCAGTTTTGGAATTCTTCCACCAGCAATGCACAGGGGTTCCAATTTCTCCACATCCTTGACAATACTTATTTTTCTGTTTTTATAATAGCATCCTAATGAGTATGTAGATGTTGAGCTTTTAAAGAGAGATCAGGCTGCGTGTGGTGGCACATGCCTGTAACCCAGGACTTTGGGAGGCTGAGGCAGGAGGATTGCTTGAGCCCAGGTGGGTTGCTTGAACATAGCAGACCTTGTCTCGTAAAAAAAGAAAAAGGGAAAGAAAAAAACAGAGATCATAAGTTTGTAGTGATTTTTGCCTATCATTTATACACAAAGGGGATAGAAAACCATATCTTTTAGGGTAATACGTGGTTACTTGTTAGCTAGTTATCTAGTATTACTGTCAGTTCAGAATAATTAACCAGACAGTTCTTGAAGTTCGGAAGAGAGCAAAGAATGGTTGTTTGACTGCTTTATCTTTGGGTTCTTTTGAAAACTTCATTTTTGGGAACTTGAACACTACTTTGATTGAAGTTACAAATATTAATTGCACCTACAATCTTTAATTCTTACATGTAAAAAGAAATCTATGTATAAGGATATTCCTAATAGCATTGTTTATAATATTGAAAAATGAAAACAGTCCAGATGTCCAGAAATTATGGGGGATATGTATGTACATACATATACTTACATACATATATACATACAGGGGAGTACTTCAATCATTAAAAACAATACTGTATACCTCACTGCCGTGGAAAAATATCATCACATTGTTAAATGGAAAAGTGAGTTGCTGAACAGCAAGTATAGTATGATCTCACATAAAATTATGTTTGACTGTATATTATATATACATATATGGATGAAGAAAGACTTGGAAGAACATTAACCAAAATGTTAATAGTGGCTGTATTTAAAGTGACAGTACCTGAGATTTTTCTTTTCTTTTCTTTTTTTTTTTGAGTTGAAGTCTTAATCTGTCACCCAGACTGGAGTGCAGTGCCCGCTCCTAGCCACCGCAGCCTCGACTTGCTGTGCTCCAGCAATCCTTCCGCTCAGCCTTCCAAGTAGCTGGAACTACAGGCATGCGCTATCACGCCTAGCTAATTTTTTTGATTTCTTGTAGAGATGAGGTCTCGCCAAGTTGCCCAGGCAGGTCTCGAACCTGCGGGCTCAGGCAATCCACTCACCTCGGCCTCCCAAGCACGGGATTACAGGCCGAGCCACCGAGTCCGGCCTCTTTTCTTTTTTTTAAGACAGGCTGTTGTTCTGTTGCCCAGTCTGGAGTTCAGTGGTACAATCATAGATCAGTGCATCAAAATACTGGGCTCCGATCTTCCCTTATCAGTCTCCTAAGGAACTAGGACTACAGGCGTGCACCGCCATGCTGGGCTAATTATTAAAAATATTTTGTAGAGATGGAGTCTTGCTATGTTGCCCATACTAGTCTTGAACTCCTGGTCTCAAGCTATCCTCCTGCCTTGGCCTCCCAAAGATGAGATTACAGATGTGAACCACTACACCCGACCTATGATTTTGTTTCTGATTTTTGTATATTTTAAATTTTTTTCTAAGCATGTATTATTTTTCTAAAAATTATAAAACTGTGTACTATTCAAAATGTATAATAGAACAAGGAGAAAATACATGTTTTGTTTTGTTTTTTGAGTTGGAGTCTCACTCTGTTGTTTAGGCTATAGTGCATTTACACCCTCACAGCTACTGCACCCTCAACCTGCAAGCAACTGAAACCACAGGCTTGCGCCACCATGCCTGACTAATTTTTGTTTTTTTAATTGTAGAGACAAGGTCTCACCAAGTTGTCTAGGCTGGTTTCGAACTCCTGGGCTCAGACCCTCCTCTTGCCTCTGCCTCCCAAAGTGCAGGGATTACAGACATGAGCCACTATGTCTGGTGCCATGATAGTATTTTTTTTTAAGGTTTAGCATCTGGTTTCCTGGAAGAAAACACATATCAGGAGAATATTTTATGGTCACTAGTGGTTCTTAAATGATAGCTCGTGTAGCATCTATTTTTATTTAACTATCCATGGAAGGGGTTGTATGTAATTGAACTTTGTCTTCTTTAGCTGTGCTAAGACAAATTGAAAAGGCTATTATATGGTAAGAAAAGGCTATTATATGGATATCTGTAAAACTTGAGGTGCTTTTAACCCTTATTTTCTCTGAAAATCTAGAAATGGAAATAAGTCCCATTTATCTAAATGTGATCACAGTTTTTCTTTTTGGGTTGCAGGAACCAATAAAATCACGTGCTCCACAGCTTCACTTAGAGTACAGGTTTTATAAACAGCTTGGCAGTGCAGGTAAGTCAAGTCGTTTTTTTCAATTTACTTAGCATATAGCTAAGCTGGAAACTCTAAAATATGCAAATTTTTTTTCTGGTTTACCCTTCTTAACAGACCATATATTGGCTCTGCTCACTGGATAGGTAAATAAATAGAGTCACCCACAGTACTTTCTCTCTGGTTCCTGGAAGAGCAATTGAGTTGATCAGAGATCTATGAAGCCTAGCCCTAACCCTAACCCTAACCTCAGTCTAAACTTCAAATGTTTTTACCCACCTGAAATATACATGATATGGGGGATTTGCCTTTAGATAGTTCATTCATTTTCTTTTCACTACTTAACATACACCAAAAGAAAGGAGGAGAGACTAGTAACTTGCAGCCTACATTTTGCCACATTGAGACTATTTATTTGTTTTAAAGATATGCTAAAATACACATTCTGAAATTCTGGAATCCCGCAACACTTATTTTATTCATTGTTCTCACTAATTTGTAAGAGGTATCTTATGTTTGTCATAATCTATGACCTTTGGCAATTTTCAAAAATTAGGCTATAATTTTTTTTTAATATCTGCCTTTACCTTAAAGCCCTAATTTCTGAAATATTTACTGGCTCTCAGAAAAATGTTTGACTAAGAAAATGTTACCAACCCTAAGTGGGGCTGCACCTGTAAGACTACTGTCTCAGAAGATCAGATTCTTCAGAGCTATTTTCATTTTTTGATATTAGTAGAAATTTCTCTGCTTTGTGTTTTCTTCACTGTGACAGTTTTATGTGAATGACTGAAGCATGGTTTCTATTTCACATACCCCTATTTAAGGTATAATTGAAGGAATTTGAATTTTACTTTCTAAAATATATATAATTATATAAGAGCCATTAGGTATTATCAAGTCTTATTTTACCCTGACTGTGGCAGTAGTCAGCTATAGTCATAATCTATGGAGTTTACAAAGGATATTTGTCTTTCATTTAACTTAATATGAGTTCTTGCTCAAAGTACCTTCTTGTTATATATTTGTTGATTAATTGAAGTGTTCCTGGCCTTAGATTTTAAAAAGGCAGCTTAATTTACAGGATGTATGTATAACTTGGCTTGTCTTCTCTGTTGCTCTAGAATTAAATTTTAATTGTTATTCCTCTTCTATTGTCCCTGGTTTTATAAATTTCAGGGTAATGACTGTTGCAGCTCACTTAAATAAGCATGTTTGTGTATGTCTCATAAATCTAAGGCTCAGGCAAAAACATGCTCATTCCAGTCCAATTTAGAAGTTTGAGTGGGGAAGTGACCAGGCAAGTTTTTAGGATTTCTTCTGTAAGTCCTTCCCAATAGCCCCACCAGATCAGACCAGTCTTCCCTTTTCAATTTGGAGCCAAAAAAATCTTATGAATTTATTATGTGAAAATAACATCTGGGCTGGGTATGGTGGCACATTCCTATAATCCCAGCACAGGAGGTGAAGGCAGGGGGTTTGTCTAAGCCCAGGAGTTTGAAGATCAGCCTAGGCAACATAGTGAGACCTTGTCTTTACAAAAAAAAAAAATACTAAAAATTAGCTAAGTGTGGTGATGTATGCCTGCAGTCCCAGCTACTCCAGAGGCTGAGGCAGAAGAATCAACTTGAGCCTAGGAGGTCGAGGCTGCTGTGAGCTGGGAACACGACACTGCATTCCAGCCTGGGTGACAAAGTGAGATCCTGTCTCAAAAACAAACAAACAACAAAAAAAAAAGGAAAAAAAATCTGTGTTGCTGGGTTCATATTCTCCCCAGATAATGAACATTGCAAACTTGAACTTTTGACATTCTCTGTGCACTGAATGCAAAGAGTTAAATAGGGAGAGCATTGGAGAAAAAGGGATTAAGACAAATTGCCTTTCACTTAAGGCAATAAGGAAAAACTTTAAACTCTGAGACTGGTGCAGTGGGAATAGGAGGGTTCTGTGGTAGTGGTTAGGCTAACTGTGTTAGGTAGGCTGGTCATCATTAACCTCTCTCCCAGGACCTTCTTACCAATTCTAAAAGTTACACAACCTTCTATATCTTATTTGAAGTTCTGTGATTCCTGTCCTCTTTTTTGCTTTCTCTTTTCTGCTTCTTGAGATCACCTACTGCACTTAAAGTAGCCGTGGGTGGGTGTCATCTCCTTAGTATTCAGCTGAAACCTATATGTCTTTTTTTTTTTAAGATTTTATATATAAACATAGGCTGCCTGAACAAAGCATATTTGTATACCTAACTCTTAACTGTACCCCACAATATCATAATAAAAAATATTGATTATAAAAATATATATATATATAAAAACATAGGCCATCATCTATCAAGACTTTCTGCATTTTATACTTATATAATTGATTTTGAGCACCTAAACCTCTTAAATGTCATTTTATTTTCTGCCATCGTTACTATATTGGAATATTTGTAAAATCCTGATTCTTTTATCCTTTTTTTTTTTGAGTCGGAGTCTCACTCAAGTACCCAGGCTGGAGTGCAATGGCATACTCACAGCCACTCCTACGTCAATCTGCTGGCCTCTGGTGTTCCTTCCACCTCAGCCTTCCAAGTAACTGGAACTACAGACATGTGCTACCATGCCTGGCTAATTTTTTTAATATACAGTAGAGATGAGGTCTTGCCAAGTTGCCCGGGCTGGTCTCGAACCTGTGGGCTCAGGCAGTCTACTCACCTCAGCCTCCCAAAGTGCTGGGATTACAGGCTGAGCCACCGAGCCTGGCCTCTTCTATCCTGTTGATGATTAGATATTAACTATTTCTTAATTGTAATTGCATATTCGCTTCCCCTTATAAGTTCCTTGAGAACAAGGCCTGTGCCTTCTTAACTTTTGTATCACAAGTGTATCTCAAGGTCCAATGTAGTTCTGTCATGTGACAAGCAGTCAGTAAATAGTTCAGTGGCATAAAAACATTAGGAATATTTAATAAACTTGCCTTTTCAGATTTTTACTAAGTTACAAATAAAAATACTCCTGTGGCTGACTAAAAAAAAGAAATGTATTTTGAAAGTAGATCAGAGGCCAGACACAGTGGCTCACGCCTATAATTCCAGCACTTTGAGAGGCCAAGGTGAGAGGATTGCCTCAGCCCACAGGTTTGAGACCAGCCCTGCAATTTGGCAAGACCTCATCTCTACAATAAATCAAAAAATTAGCCTGGTGTGGTGATGCATGCTTTTAGTTCCAACTACTTGGAAGGCTGAGGCTGAAGGATTGCCTGAACCCAGCAGGTTGAGGCTGCGGTGACTGTGAGTGTGCCACTACGCTCCAACCTGGGCGACAGAGTAAGACTCCAACTCAAAAAAAGAGAGAGATCTGGTTCAAAATACATGAAAGTAGATAGGATTTCATTATGTCTCATAGTAAATATAAGCATGAACACTAGTGTTTATTCCTAATTTATAGACACAAGCATTTCTCTCCCTATTTCTTCGGCATAAGTTCCCAGTTGCAAATGTGACTCATCAGTAATATACTATCTGAGCAGCCAGAGTGCATATGCCACTCTTTTCAGAACTAAGGTGATATTGTAACATTGTAAATAAACAAATAGCCTTTTATGCCAAAGGCACACAAAGACTACAATAATGTAAATTAGTGTTTTTACTCACTAGTGCTTTGTCTGTCATAATTCATCACAGGTCAATGATTTGTAAAATATTTGAGTACCCTGACAAGAGAGACAAAAAAAAAGTCTGTTGTGACTTAGATTTATTTGGTCAATGGATTAATTGAAGTGCATGAAATGCTTTGGGAGAAATGACTGATTGTGAATTTAAAGAATACCTATTGCTGTTGTGACCAGAGCTTGAGACTTTAAATTCCTAAAACAGAAACTTTTTTGTTGTTCTGAGTATATGACCATTTCTTCAGCACCTAGTTTTTTTTTTTTTGATAAGAAACTCTTGAAGGACACATGTTCTTTGTTGGTTATGTTTCTTTTTTTTTTTAGTTGGAGTCTCATTCTGTCATTCAGGCTGGAGGGCAGCAGTGGCAGGCTCCCGGCCACCATAACCTTGACCTGCTGGGCTCAGGCGATCCTTCTGCCTCAGCCTTCCAAGTAGCTGAAACTACAGGGATACGCCACCATACCCAGCTAATTTTTTGATTTAGTGTAGAGATGAGGTCTCGCCAAGTTGCCCAAGTTGGTCTTGAACCCGTGGGCTC